TAGCAGGTCAGCCTTGCGACAAAGCAAATGGTAAGCTAGTCTACATGAGACCCTGTCTCAAACTAAAACAAAACCCCAGAATTATCGGAGCTTGGAGCCCACCCTTGCAGATTGCTTTGTAGCTCATGAAGTTACCATGACAAATAAATGTTTGTTTGAAGTAACTTGGCTGAGAGCTATGAGGAAAATCCTTTTCAGATTTTAAAAATTATGTAAGTAAAAATTATAAAAAAAGGGCAGAAGATGATGCAAGAGGATTGTTAGTTCCAAGTTAGCTAGAGCTATGTAGCAAGACCCTGTCTCAATAAAAAGAAATAGGTCAAGCAACAAGATAAACAAATTTCATGTCATTCAGAAACGAACACTCAAGTTTTCCACCTTTGCGGTCTTCATCCTATATATTACAGCTTTCACAGTCAGTTCCACTGCAGTGCTCTGTGCACTTTTTTTTTAAAGTTATATACACATGCTTGCACATGGTATGGTGTATGTGTGGAAGTAAGGGCAACTTCCGAGAGTCATTTTGTCTCTGGGTCCTGGGTCTGGGTCTTGGGTCATCAGCCTCGGTGGCATGTCCTTTACTGGCTGATTATCTCATTGGCCCCCATCTTGTCTTTTGGAGACACAGTCTCTTGCTGGGACCTGTAACTCACTGAGCCCCAAGGATCCACCTGGGCTGAGATTGCCTGTATGTGCTACTGTTCATGACCCTTTTGTGGGTGCTGGGAGTCAGCCAGTCCTCGTGGCTTCCATGTAGACACTTTACTAACTGCTTTTGAGCCCTTGGTGTTGGTTTTTGTTTTTCTTTTAGAAACACTTAAATCTTGAAGTCCTTTATGGGGAAGAGATTGTGCTCTTGTCTATAATTAGGATGCAGTGGTGTGTCTAGGATCTGGGTGGCTTGTGCTTAATTATCAGCCTATAATTAATTCTTGGTATGCCTCCCTGTTTCCTGAGCTGCCACTGAGTGCCACAGCAGGCATAAGGCTAGGAAGGCCAAGATTCAGTGGCTGTTTCTGATGAGGTTTTTCTTGCTAGTGGGGACTGTAGCGTACCAAGGCTATGCAAAACCTCACATGGGAAAGCTGACCATCCTAGCTCAGGTCTTGCTTTTTCTAATGATTCCACAGTTCTATTGGATTAGGGCCCTATTTATCTGTATGTATCCCCCAAAGGTTCTGTCTCCCAATACCATGAGTTTTGTCGGAAACATTGAAACTGTATCATAGTCCAAGGAGAGAACTGCCTACATCTTGTTAGTTTCATCTTGTTAGTACGCACCTCAGATAGTAGTTTACAGGGCGTAAAGGGAAACTATGGGATGGCGGCATCTCCTGTGGAAGAACATGAACTTAGCAGGCACAAGACACAGGGCAATTGCTAGAAAGATGCTGAAGGAACCCATCAGTCTAATCTTTAGTTTATATGTGGGGCAACAAATACCAAACTGAAACATGGTCTCTCTGGATAGCACGATCGCTAGCCACGCTGGATGAGAATGCTAGTTACAAGCCTTCCACTTTTCTTTATTATTCAAGATATGGGGGTAGATTTAACGTCTGGTTATCATTCCTCCCATTGGTCCTCAGGTTGAATTTTCTATTCTAGCAAGGCTAGAATATTTTTGTTACCTAATAAACTTAATAAGTTAATTATTTAAACCAGAAATTCTCAAACACACTTTTATTATTTTAAAGAAAAATGTATTTATTTTTGACTGTGCACACGCATATGGACTGTGTCCATGTATGTGTGCAGATGAGTGGGCACAGGTAAGCCTGTGCATGTGGGGAAGTCAGGAAAACTTCCAGGGTCGATTCTGTCTTCCCCTGGAATCAAACCCAGGTCTTCAGTCTTGTGCCAGTAATTCACAAACACCTTTGCCCATCCTGCCAGCCCCTTCACCATCTTCTGAATGATGTAGAATAGCGTCAGAGCCACCGGAGTGCTGATTAAAAGCAGGCTCTAAGCGCTGCATACATTGGATTCCTGAGTTCTGCTGAATGGTTATAACAGCTCATCTCCCAGATCTCACAGGAGGAAAACTGAAAACAAAAGCTTTTTTTCCCCATGCCCTTAGCAGACCTCTGCCACCACCTGACAGCGCTGACTATCAGCCGGGTGCATAGGAAGGTTTAGCTGTTGATTTAAAAAAAAAAAAACAACTCTAAACTAAGGAGCTTTAACCATTGCTCTGCAGCTATCAGTCTGCCTTCGACTGAGTGCTGTGTTCTGAGGGGAACTCAGCTTATTTTGAGCTTCACACACAACTGTCTTCTCACGTCCTGGAGTGGCCTGATCTGGAACGTGGGTCCCTGATTGCACTGGATAACACAGCTTCATGCTTTCTTGCTTCCTCCCTGGTAGAGTCCCTTCCTTCAGAGGAACATGTTTGAAGTAGAGCAGCAGAGTGCCCAGTCCTGGTCTCTGCCAAGTGGAGAGTTGTTTCTTGGAACACATGTGCCTTTGTTTAGATTGTTCTAGAATACACAGAAGCATCTGGCTACATAGACTTTTCCTGTTTGTCCACATGAAGGAGGATGTCTGTGTGTCTGTCTCACCCTGTAACATTCCTGGCATCATTCCATGGTAAGAGTCTCCTGACCACTGAAGCCAGCAGTGCCTAATTTCATAATGAAGGGTAGATAGTGAACGGCCTCTTTATGTCCGCAGAAGGAGTTGTGATCCCTTTATCTAGGTGAGATTTTTGGGGAAAAAAACCTTTTATGATTTCTGACATTCAAAATGGCTTAAAATACTTCAAGTCTTTAAGACTATTGAAACTTCAATTTTGTCTAATAAATATACATCCTTGTATTAAAAACCTTTCAATTTTCTCTTTTTAGAAATGGGCAATATATTTAATACACTTTAATCTACATTTGCTTAAGAGGAAGGAGGAGGAGAAGAGAAGAAAGAATGGTGTGTGAGGGTTGTGTCATCAGGGCATTGGTAATAAGTCGGCCTCTGGTGCTTGTGTGAAGAATGCCCTCCAACATAAAATCATGTGGAAATATTGCAGGACACTATATCTGGGCAGAAATCAGCCACAGAGTGTTGCACGTCACAACCACAGCCTAAGGAGGAGCTGCTGACCACGCCCACGTATTTGAAATAAACAGGGCTATCCCATTCTCAGAGATACCATACTTAGGCACTCTGGGAAAGGTGGCAGCATACCTTGTTCCTGCTGTATTCTGGAACTGCAGATCTTGGACAAGGACTCATTCATGTGCTAGGGAATATAGGACAAGATAGAAGTGAGGAAAAAAGCACAGAATTTTGTCCAAAGATACTGTGAGCTCTCATGGCTGTTCCCCTGTGCCTTCCACCCGGTCTTCTCACAGACATGTGTGGTGCTAAGACTCCTTTTATCCTTCTATTTCCGTCTAAGAATTGGAAAGTAGATGTTCAAGTGGGAGAGAGAATGCTTTATGCTTTTATCTTTACCTGCATGAGCTAAGCTCAGAGTCCGCTCACATAGAATCTGACAAGAGCTTGAGTTGTCTAGGGAAAGTGAGAGCTCCCCCACCCCAATCCATTCACTTTGCTCTGAGGAATTACAAAGGTGTAAGTTAAGACTGTATGAATGGGGGCTGGAGAGATGGCTCAGTGGTTAAGAGCATTGCCTGCTCTTCCAAAGGTCCTGAGTTCAATTCCCAGCAACCACATGGTGGCTCACAACCATCTGTAATGAGGTCTGGTGCCCTCTTCTGGCCTGCAGGCATACACACAGATAGAATACTGTATACATAATAAATAAATAAATATTAAAAAAAAAGACTGTATGAATGCTTGAGATCTTGGCTCTATATACTGCACCAATGTATTGTTCGGCTTCCTGTCTGAAGTATGCAAGGTGAATGGACTATAAATGGGACGGAGCTTACGTTACATAGAAACAGGGACTGACCTGAGAGGGTACATAGTGTGTGTGCTCACATGTCCTTATTAAAAGGCAAAATCAGTCTGTGCTCATGGTCTGAGAAAGCGAGGGGCTACTGAAGCAGGGCCCTGACAGGACTTATTGGGCCCTGGTAATGTCCTGATTCTTAGTCTGGAGGGACTGTGGGCTGACTCGGGGAGGTAAAGTGCCTTACCTTCCTACAGTACAGCCTGACAACCTGGGTTTGGTCCTTGGAACCTCTGTAAAGGTGGAGGCAGAGAGCTGACTCCACAGAGTCCTCTGACCTCTGTGTGTGCTCTGCGCAGCCCCATCAATAATAAATTTAAATATTATATATATGGCTATATTATATATATTATTATATATTATATATATAAATATTATTATATATATATATGGCTATATATATATAGCCATGCCATATAAATGTTACAGTAAAGTTGAAAACGTGGGCAAAGGCTCAAACTCTCTCCAAGCAGATACAAAGTGCAGTTGTGGGCGAAGAGAAGAGCAGCTTCCCTTCTTCCCTGTCTCCCTCCTTCCTCCTCATCTCCCTCCCTCTTTCCTCCTCATCTCCCTGAATCCTCCCTTCTTATCTCCCTCCTTCCTCATCCCCCTCATCCCCCTCATCCCCCTCCTGTTCATTCCCTTCCTGAGATCAGATCAAAACCCCACCAAGATGAGCAAACTGTTATTTCCTGGGCAAGACTCATCACGAAATCTTACTGAGTATCCGACCGGTGTCTGTAGTTTTTAGGAATGTTTGCCTGTTGATTGGTTGAGCCCTTTGGGCGGCTGAGTTACCTTGGAGCTATGAGCTCCTTCCTTGATGTATTTCCAAGCCGTCACTAACCTCTTGATTGAACTGAATCAAGAATTGAACTTGAATTTTGTTTCTGTTTCTCACTAGTAGATGGAAATTATGTGCCTTTGGCACCCATTGGCCGTCCCTAGGTGCAGACTTCAAAGAAGAGTGGTGGTGGCAGGGTCTGTCCCATAGGTGGTTTTCTTCCCAAGAGCCTGGTGGTTGCTGGGTGCAGGGCTGCCATGCTACTGCTTCCCTTCATATCCTCTGTCTCTTGTGAATTTTCAGAGCTTTAGACAAACTGAACGGATTCCAGTTAGAGAACTTCACCTTGAAGGTCGCCTACATCCCTGATGAAACAGCCGCCCAGCAAAATCCCTCACTGCAGCTCCGAGGGCGCCGGGGGCCAGGGCAGCGGGGCTCATCCAGGCAGGCGTCTCCAGGATCAGTATCCAAGCCGAAACCCTGTGACCTGCCTCTGCGTCTGCTGGTTCCCACCCAGTTTGTTGGAGCCATTATAGGAAAAGAAGGTGCCACCATTCGGAACATCACCAAGCAGACCCAGTCTAAGTGAGTACGTGGGAGTGGGTGGCCAGCCTTCTTCCTCGTTGTGTCTAGTATCGGGGTGTGGTGTGCAGGAGCTTGGTGTCCTTCTGAACAGAGTTGGGGGCTCTCTTTTACAGTACTGGGGAACCCTTGTGATCAGATCATGTTGATTGCTTGTATAAAACCTCAAAGGAAATTTCATTTTCTCACATGAATGGCAAACAAATGGTACTGATGCCACTGTGATGGACCAGAGGGCAGTGTGCATGTTCCTCCTCACCTCTTTGATCTTTAGCTTCAGTGTAGAGAACGTATTTTATCCTGGGTTCACTTCAGTGAAGAACAGTTTGTCCACTGGGTGAGATGGTACACACCTGTCTCTGGAAGGAGAGGCAGGAGTTCCTGGACATTCTTAGCTACATAGTGTGTGTGAAGACAGCTGGGGCTGTGTGAGACAAATAGAAACAAAAAAAGGGCTGGCAAGGTAGCTCAGCTCGAAACCACTTGACGTGAAAGCACTTCCCATGCAGGACTGCCGCCTGCATTCCATTCCTGCATCCGTGATGGGGGAGACAATGGGCTCCTCAGAGTTGTCCTCTGACTGCTCAAAAACTGTTTTAAATTAAATTACATTTATTAGTGTGTGTGCGTGTACACTCAGTGCTCTTAGCCGCTGAGCCATCTTTCCTGCCCCTCCTCTGACTTCTTTCCATGTGCACTAAGGCATGCACATATCCATACTCACACAAATCACTCACTTACATAGTAATTAATAGTAAGTAAAATTTAAAAAAAAGAAAAGAAAAGGTTCATCCTCTGGTTAAAATTTGTTCTATGGCTAAATCTGAAGTTAGAATGACTTTTCTTGAGGCTGTTTTGTAATGTAAGGAACTGGACAATCCTGATCAAACACCAGCGCTCACTTGGTTGGAGCCAGGTAGGACCTGTTGTCATTTGTCACCGCAGCCCAGTGGGGGTCACTTCCTGATGCACAGAAGCCTGTCACCGCCTCTGAGATTCCATCTCAGAAGATTGCAGGCTCTTCCGTTGTATTGCAGGTTACTTGTTTTACCCCGTAAACCATGCACTTGTGCAGTGTGTGGATGGTTTGATTCAAAGAAGCTTGCTAAAAACTCTCCCTCCATTCCTACCTCTGCACAGCTCCATGCTGCTGGCCCTGAGCAGCCATGCTTCCTGAAGACTCGGAGAATTCCTAGGAAGGAAGTTATTGGGGAGGAGGTTGTGTGCAAATAGCATCTTTCTGCAGCCTGACCCAGCTACAGAAAGGACTGGATAATTTTACTGTTTACAGTTAGTACGAAGGAGGATTTCATGCGATTAGAGAAATTGAGCTTGGTCCTTTTCTGGAAACAGTGCCATGGTGCTGTGTGTTCTTTGTGCCTGGGTGTGTTTCTTGGGCCTCAGAGGTATCCATAGTCCTCGCAGGCAACCTGCCTGCAGTGAACTGGGAGGCGCATTCCACGAAGAACCTAAAGAAATTGTATCTTGCGTTGGTTGTAAGTTCACCCAGCCCTGCTGGGACATCCTATCCTCCTCAGCTCCTGCTTTGAAGGAGAGACACTGAACATTGGGTACCTGTGTGCTACATTAATGATTCTAAACTCATTATTAGTGAATGGAGAAAACAATTGAACCATTATCTAGGTAAGAACTTCTTAACTTTTACTTGTGACCCCTTTTTCCCTGAGAAAACTTATGTATCTTTCAGAAAATAGTCTGTAAGATTCAAGTCAAGCATAGTAAATTCTTAACAATATTTAAAAATAATTCTTTAGTATTCATGTAATTTTATAATTGATTAAAAATGAAAACTGATTTGCATAGTAATGAGAGAGATGCCTTTTTTGTTACCACATAAAGAATTAAATCTTGGCCAGGTAGTTGATTGACCCTATAGAACATGGAGCATCTTCAAGGTTTTCAGGGCAGATCAGGGCTTTGGCTCTGGCCTCGGGATTGAGTACGCTGCTTCACATAAACATGTAGCTCAAGTCTAGTTAGGTCCTTCTATACGTTGTTGGAAATTATGTCCGAATCTCAAGCCAACATTATTTAATGATTTTTTTTAAATGAAACTCAAATCAGTGATTCAAACACCAATTTCTAAAATCAAATATTCCTACACAGTCCAATTCAAGGATCTGCCAGTTGGATGTGTGTCAAGGGATGGCAGCAGGAATGTGTTAAAAGTCTGTTTTTCTCAGCTAAACTATTAGTTTCCACTAAGAACAGAAAGCTTTGGGTGTGCACTTACAACGCTGGTTCTTCACGTAATCTCGAGTGTGAGGTGTGCAGTGTTCCTTGGTGTAAGGGCGTATGTGGTGCAGTACAAAGTGCAAATGCTGTTTGTTCAGAACCAAGGCTGCAGTGAAATTATGTGATCCATGTCCGAGTGTTTCCAGAAACACATCAGATTCATTCATTCCCCTTGAGGTTTGGAAATAAATTTTGGCCACCACATGTTTCAAATAAAAAAAAAAAAAGGAAAAGAAAGGAAACATGACTGCTCCTAGGTATGGTGGAGGAGGTTTATTGTAGATATGTAGGTGAACATAGCCAGAGAGGCAGGAATCTGTGGGAGAGTACAGAGTAGACACGGGCAGACTGAGCTGGGCTGTGTGAGGGGAGAGAGGGGGACCAGGTACAGCAGCCAGGAGGTTCAAGGGTACAAAGATAGTAGGTAACCAAAATGATTATATAGGGAAAGGAAACCCAGCCCCCTGGGCTGGAGAAGTTTTGGGTAGAGTGTGGGACATACCAGCCATACCCTGTAATAGGGACTTAGCAACCAGCATCTATCTGCTTTATATGTTAAACAGACACCTCAGCCTTTTGTCCTGGATTTGAAACCTAACAGCAGTGTTCAGTAACCTTTTCTATTGCAGAAAATTTCACAACCCTCACATTAAGTAATGGGACCCATATGAGGTTGTAACCCATATAGCTTAAGAAGCTGGGACGTGAATCAGTTTACCTACCTTTCATCTGAAAGTGTGGAGGATCTCACCTTCCATCCCTTACCTTCAGGAACTTAGTAAGAGGTTGCTCTTTTGCATTAGCAGCTTAGTTCCTGAGATCTGTCTGATACAGGAGCTGTGGCTTAAGCTACTCTGTTTACTTAAGGTAGGCAGATGGGGGCAAAGCAGAGGAGTGTTTTTGTCTGTCTGATGATCAGGCTGTAGAGCTCTACCGGTGGATTTAATTAATTCTTGCCGTTGTAACTAATCATTACCAGAAACCCCTGTTTCAGGAATAGTCCCAGGGGAGGGTGCTGATCATCAGAGTAACATTCCCTTCTCAGGATCAGAGTTTTATAGCCCTCAGCCCAGTAAAAGGGTGGGAAACACGGAAGGAGGGGCCGTGACCATGTTAGTGGAAGACCACATGACTCATAGTGTCTGGGTTTTACAGTGGGTTAGGGAGATAGTGTTAGGGATTGGAGCTATTATCTAGACACATGTTCATGCCTTCTATGTTTATAGTTCTTACTTGTTTCATTTCTACATTACCTTAAGTTACAGGTTTTAATTGTGGGGCAAATTCTAATAAAGTGAAATCCAAGCCTTCGTTTTATTGGCTTGTTGAAGTGGCTGTTCTCATAGCAGTGAGTCCTTAAGAGATGAAGAAACTGAAAAGGCCCACCCAGCAGTTGCTTAGATTTCCCTAAAACACATGCTCAGAGGTAGTTAATATTCTTACAGCAGCAAACTTAATTTGTGGTTAATTAAAAATGTACAAATGCACATATTTTTAAAAGAATGAATTAGATTCTTGTCATCCCAGAGCTGTTAAGTTTTGAGCTGTTGTATCTTTTTATGGGACTTATTATTTGCAACTATTAACTTGTAACTTTAGAAGATAACACATGGCATGTACTGCATATTTTCACTTAGATCAAGGATGCTTACTTTGTTACCACATTTGGTGAAAAATAACTGCAGATGTAGCTTAATGGTGCTTGCTTCTTGCACCCAGTGTCCTGGACTATCATAGGTGCATACGGACTGTTACTTAACCATTACATTCTAACGAGCACAGTAAAAGTTCAGGGTTTTTAAAAAAATTTTTTTTTCTTAGTAGGAATAGTGCTACAATGAACATCACCACACCAGTGGGCTCTGAGTTGACACCTGCAGTTTCTGGAAATGTTTTTGACTGTCGTAAAGGGTGCTGCTGTCATTTCATAGGAAGAGGCCACAGCTGCTTCTGGAGCCAAAGAAAGAATGACCTTGACCTTAAATGTACGAGTGTTGGGGGTGAGAAGTACCACCTCAGCCCACCTATTAAATTGTTAGGGCAAAACTGCCGACGAGCCTGTGCAGTGGTTCAGCAGTGGACATGCTAGCTGTCTGAGCCTAGAACCTGAGTTTGATCCTGAGAGAACCATAAACATTTGGATGCAACTGGTGCCCATCTGTAAGGCCCAGCAGTCCTCCGGAAAGCTGCAGGCCAGCCAGACTGGAGTACAAAGCATGGCAGAGACAAGAGGGACCTTGCTTCAAAAAAGTGGAAGGAGGGAACCAGCTCCTCTAATCTCTGTACAGCATTGTGGCATATGTGTGCCCATACTCATAAACATCACTACAGCAATAATTTTTTTTCTAAGATTTATTTATTTATTATGTATATAGTGTTCTGTCTGTCTGTATGCTTGCTAGCCAGAAGAGGGCACCAGATCTCATTACGGATGGCTGTGAGCCACCATGTGGTTGCTGGGAATTGAACGCTCTGGAAGAACAGCCAGAGCTCTAACCTCTGAGCCATCTCTCCAGCCTCCCAGCAATAATTTTTTAATTAATCAGCATTTTACCTTCAAATGGTCCTGCCAGTTTGCCACCAAAAATGTGGATCAGCCTCATATCCCTTCACTTCACCAATATTTAATTTTATGCATCTTAAAATATTTACAGGCCAAGGGACCAGAGAGATGGCTCAGCAGTTAGAGCTCTGGCTGTTCTTCTAGAGGTCCTGAAATCCATTCCCAGCTACCACGTGGTGGTTCACAAACATCTGTAATGCCATCTGGCGCCCTCTTTTGGCATGCAAGCATACATGCAGACAGAACACTATATACACAATAAATAAATAAATCTTTAAAGAGCCATTTACAGGTTCAGAACAAAAAAAAACATAGTATATTAATTGGCTGGGCTAAACATCAGTCGAATTCAATGGTGGCTTGTTTGTTGTTGCTGTTTTTGTTTGTTTTGGTTTTCCAAGAGTGGGTTTCTCTTGGGTAGCCCTGGCTGTCCTATCCTGACTCACTCTGTAGACCAGGCTGGCTTCTGCCTTGAAAGTGCATGCGCCACCACTGCCTGGGTTTTTTCTTTTTTTTTTTTTTCTTTTCTTTTCTGCCAATTGGTCACCTCTTTAGTTCTATTCCCATCACTATTTGTTGCTGACTTTCTCTATCAATGAGACAGAACTTTGTAAACAAAAAATTGTATGAGCAAAGCCTGCCATAGGGCAAGTGGTGAACATTCTGGGTCTGACTATGGGACCAACTTGGCTGTGGAATCCCGGCTCTGGCTGTCTTGATAGCACAGCTCTTTGTATCTCAGGCACTTAACGATTGCTCTGAGCTTTAACACAAACAGCTTAAGAATGAAAAGATGTCTATGTTTGGATTGAGAAGAGAGAGCACCTGGGATTGGAATTTGTGGGCTGAGGCTATAGCCCAGTGCTTGCTTAGTGTATTAATTGTGTGTGTCTCGTTGTTGCTGCAACCAAAACAGGTGGAAGAAGGGAAGGCTTAGGTTGGCTCACTGTTCTAGGGAAGACAGCCCATTATAGTGGTGACAGTGGCTGGAGCAGGAGGCGGCTGGTCACATAGCAGCCACAGTCAGGACGCAGAGAGGGATGGAAGCTCCTGTGTTGCACTTGCTAGGATCCCAAGTCCGCGAAATTGCACCACCCCGTTTAGAATGTGCTTCCCCAATCTATAAACTCCCAGACATGTTTAAAGATTTGGCTCCATGGTGATTATAAATCCCCTCAGGATGACAGTCAAGATCGCCCATCATAAAAAAAAAAATCAAAAAACAAAAACAAACATATCCCAGGTTTGCATGAGCTAGGCATGGAGGTGAATGTCTGTGGTATTGGCGCTCTGAAGGCAGAGGCAGGAGAACCAGAAGTCAAGGGCCTTTCCCACTTCATAGCAAACTTAAGGCCAGTCTAGATATGGAACCCTTGCTCTGTTGGCAGCTGATCACAAGTTTTCTTTTAATAAAGTGAATCTGCTTGTTCCACCAGAAGTCCTGGGGCTTGTAGCTGGTAACTGAAGACTCCTTGTGGTGAGTATGCACTGACTGGCCTGTCCTCTTCCCTTTGTGCCTGCCATCAGAATTGATGTCCATCGGAAGGAAAATACAGGGGCTGCCGAGAAACCCATTACTATCCTCTCTACTCCTGAAGGTGCCTCTGCAGCTTGTAAGTCGATTCTGGAGATTATGCATAAGGAAGCGCAAGATACCAAACTGTGAGTAACGAGGACTAGCCTGCCAAATCGTAGATCTCTGACACTTTCTTGGGGATTAATGCTATCCTGACGAGCTAGTATTTGCCTCTGTTGACGCAGTGTGAAACACTAAATCTTTTACATACTTAAAACCAGTTTCATTCATAGTTGGATATGGAACAAGCAGCAATAATGGGAAGGAAAATGTAACTAGAAGAAGGCAGCCTGGGGGGACACAGCCAACCGAGGGCCAAGAAGTAATTTGGGATTTACTTTAGACTTTTACTGGCAAGGCCTTGGGCGTTCTGTTTCTGTCTACACCCAGCTCCTCCATGTACAACAGGGCATGGAGTGTGAAAGCCCCTAATTCTGTGCTCAGGGCAACTGGAGATTGATGTGGGTGTTGAAGGTTGGAACTCTGTACTGTCAGAAATTAGGTTGGCTTCCGTGCCAACTAATGCACTGAACACAGCCCAGAGCAAGGCTCAAGGAGGTGCCCTAGGACCGGACCACATTGCCTCTATTTACTCTGTAAATATGTCAATATGTTTCAGTGATAGGTGTCTTATATGGGTACAGTAGTTTTTTAGAATAGACAAAGTAAAGGGAAAGTCCACCATCATGGAGCCCCCAGTGACGTTAGAAAAGCATGATGTGTAAGTCAGATTCTGAAGGGGCACAGGAAGCAGCTCAGTGGCACAGGGCCTGCTGTGAGACACTTGAGGCCCTGAGCTTGGTCCCCTAGGCCCGTGTCAGCTGGGCATCCTGGGGGTTCTCTGACCAGTCAGTCTAGCACATCAGCGCCCCAGGCTGTCACAGGAGACTGGAGAGTGATAGAGACAGATACTTGACACTTGTACTTCTGGTCAGCATGTGTGCACTCAGGAGCGGATATACCTCCATGTATATGTATAGACTCACATGCAGCCTAAACACAGAGAGAAAGAGAGCAAACAAGGCCCAGGATGCAGAGTGGAGGCTCCATGTCTACTGAACGTCTCTTCAGTTGTGACCTCTGTTGGGTTTTTAGTGCTTATTTTTCTCCAGGTGTGTGTTTTCAGAGGTATCCTAGGATTATACTGTTTTGATTTGTACATTGCGTTCTGCTCTAAGATTATCCATCATGAGTGTAGACATCCCTTGATGTGAATAGAAGATGAAGCCCTATGTAAATATCTACTGTTGTTTACCTACTGACCTGCATGAGTTGCTGGAAACGGGACAGCATGGTCTTTCTCACTCAGTAGTTAGGGAGCGAATGTTTAACAAAGAAGAGTGTCTTTTTGTCCAAGAGGAGTTACTTTCCCTGACTTATGACAACATTTTTCTACTTACAGCACAGAGGAGATCCCCCTGAAGATATTAGCTCACAATAACTTTGTAGGCCGTCTTATTGGTAAAGAAGGAAGAAACCTTAAAAAAATTGAACAAGACACAGACACTAAAATCACAATATCTCCGTAAGTGCCATCTTGTTTGTGAATTAGGGGGCTTTCGGACCCTGTTTTTAAGCTGTGTATCTGGTACACAGTTCCCTGCTTACCATTGTTCCAGCTCTGCTGTTGGGCCGAGAGCGAGCCTGTTCTCAGCCTGCCCTGCTTCTAACATCTTGAAGTGTTGCTTGTTCTCGAAGAGGTGGCAAGGCAAGCTTAACCCTTGACATTCATATTTTCTAGCCAAAATCTTCATGGTATTGTTTGACATTTATTTCCCACTGTGTTACGAATTATCCCACCATTTGCCAGCTTAAGACAATAATCAACCTGTATTGCATGGCTTGTTTTTGTTTGTTTGTTTTTGTTTTCTTTTTTTAAAATTTTTTTTATTGAGCTCTACATTTTTCTCTGCTCCCCTTCCTGCCTATCCTCTCCCAAGGTTCCCATGCTCCCAATTTACTCAGGAGATCTTGCCTTTTTCTACTTCCCATGTAGATTAGAACTATGCATGTCTCTCTTAGGGTCTTCATTGTTGTCTAGGTTCTCTGGGATTGTGGTTTGTAGGCTGGTTTTCTTTGTTTTATGTTTAAAAAACCACCTATGAGTGAATACATGTGATAATTGTCTTTCTGTGTCTGGGTTACCTCACTCAAAGTAATGTTTTCTAGCTTCATCCATTTGCCTGCAAGTTTCAACATGTCATTATTTTTTTCTGCTGTGTAGTACTCCATTGTGTAAATGTACCACATTTTCCTTATCCATTCTTCAGTCGAGGGGCATTTAAGTTGTTTCCAGGTTCTGGCTATGACAAACAATGCTGCTATGAACATAGTTGAGCGCATGTCCTTGTGGCACGATTGAGCATCCTTTGGATATATACCCAAAAGTGGTATTCCTGGGTCTTGAGGAAGGTTGTTTCCTAATTTTCTGAGAAATCGCCACACTGACATCCAAAGGGGCTGTACCAGTTTGCACTCCCACCAACAATTGCATGGCTTGTTTATATGGGTTAGGATCCACAAACAGCTCAGGACTAGGACCTGTCTACAGCCTGCTCTTGAATATCCATAGAGGACTGCCCTCTCCCAGAGGGAGTGAACCAAGAAAAGGAAGGTGCTGGAAGCTATAATGTCTTTTATGATAAAATCTCAGAATTTACACACTAACTGTTCCTGTGTGGGCTGCACAAGTCAGCCCTATTCTATGTGTGTACGGACTTCAGATTTCTTTACAAGGGGCCTAATCTTAGAGGTGGCCTAGCACACCAGGGGTACATGCCTGTTGTGATAAGAGAAAGGATTCCTTTTTCTAGGGTGACAATTTTAGGTTTCTATCATAGGACCCCAGAAGTGGCTGGTGAGCTGAAAATGAATGATAAACTTACAATACGAAGTGCTTGAAAGTGGAGGTTCAGTATGTTTGTGCTTACATAGTCTAAGGGAATGTCGGCTCCATTATAGGACTCATTTCCTCATTATATGATTTACATTTTATTCACATATGAGGAAAAGGAATAATATTCCGTCTGTGAAGGTGGATGTTTAACTCTTGACAGTCACGCCCCCCACCTCCTTTGAATCTACGCACATAGCCCTCTTCCTGTGGTGAATGTTGCTTTTCCTCTCAAGGCTGCTGACTACTATAGGCTTAGGTGCACCCAGACAGAATTTTTCATGGCTTTGAAGTGTCAGCAGGACCAGAGCTAAGCAAGGAGTTTCTTAATGTTGTCTGTTTAGGAATATAAATAGGGTCAATGTGGACCATTTAAAAATTTTAGTTGGCTGGACAGCAGTGGTACACACCTTTAATCCCAACACTTGGGAAGCAGAGAGACAAGCAGATTTACTAGTTAAGGCCATTCTAGTCAGTATACAGGATGAGTTCCTGGACAGCTAGGGATATACAGAGAAACCCTATCCTGAAAAACCGTAAATAAATAAATTAATTAAAAGTAAAAAATTTAGTTAAGATGGATTGACTTGTGCTACTTCCTTCAGACTACTTTAAATTCTGAAAATGTTGGAGAAAACAAAGTTCCGTCACACAAATGCTAGTTTGCTTTCAGGAGTGTTTTCCTTGCTTACTTCAGAAAATGCAGTTGCACAAGATAGCTGGCTCTGCTTAGAACTGGCCAGTACAGTAGGAACATCCTGGCAACACTGTCCACCCCTCCAGTCCTCCAGTTCACTGTCAGAGGGTGAGATGAGGGGTCAAGAAGTAAGTCCTGGGGGCTGGACAGATGGATCAGTGGTTAAGAGCACCGGCTGTTCTTCCAGAGGTCCCGAGTTCAATTTCCAGCACCCACATGGCAGCTTAGAACTCTGTAACTCCAGTCCCAGGGGATCTGACACACAAAATTAAATAAATTTTTAAAAATACCTTAAAAAATGGAGTAAGCAGTGTTTAAAACATGGATGTAATGAAACCGTTTGCCTAGTCATTGTCCCTGAAGGAATGGAAAGAAGCCGTCACAGATCTTGGACTTGGGCCGTGATCTGTCACTTTCTCATGATCCAGGCCCTGCCAGCTGGTTTCAGTTGCCATCTGGGGCCAAATGACACTCACCCATCCTCCTCTCGTCATTCTTGTTCTTTCTCCTCTTCCACCCACAGGTTGCAGGAACTGACGCTGTACAACCTGGAGCGCACCATTACAGTCAAAGGCAGTGTTGAGACGTGTGCCAAGGCCGAGGAGGAGATCATGAAGAAAATCAGGGAGTCTTACGAAAATGACATTGCTTCCATGAATGTTAGTTCTGGTGGAGAGCTGAAAGACAGCTCCCACTGTGTTGATCTGAACTTTCCCTTCGTAGTGAGAAGTGGTTTAGATGCGTTGTCTGCACCACCCCAAGTACCCTGGGGTAACACAGAAGCCTGGGCGTTGGACTTAGCTGTCTCTGTGATTTCTAACAAATCAGATAGCTTTGCAGCCTTGGCTTCCTGATACATGAAGAATGATTAATAGCTGCCTACCAAAGGGTATTTATTACCTCCTTTCCTGTGTTAATTGAGGGACTGTAGTGCAGGAAGGATGTGCGGATTAGAGGCAGGTGAATTAAGTCTGATTCCCTTGCCACCTGTTTGTGAGCGGCAGCTTTCTCCTCTGCATCAGACAGCTGCTATCTCCTGGTTTACATGCTTCCTGGGATTACAAGTGCCATGCATGTAAAAGGTGTTGTTAGAAACAGTCTTAAGAGCCAGACAGTGTGAAGCAAGTCCAGCAACTTGGAAGGCTGAGGTGGGTGGATTGCAAAGTCTCGGGCTGTGAGTGTGGCGTCTGTGCTGGGATGCATGCCTAGCATGTCTCAGCTCCTCCTCTGGAGAATCATAGAGCAAAACAGAAACACAGGTCTGAATTTTTCTGTGTTGCCCATATAAGCCTGGGAGATGGGGAATTTCCTGTAGCAAATGTAGCAAAAGCTATGAAAGCAAATTCCTGCCCCTGTTTAATGGAATGGTGCTGACGACGGAACACTTCAAAAGCCCGTCTTTTCAGAAGGTGCTCCTTAAACATGAGGGAAACGATTAAACTTCGGTTGGGCCTGTCTTATGAAACAGTAATGTCAGGTGAGGCTGTGACAGTATTTTTTCTGAGAAGAACCTAGAATGCTGGTCATTTTATCCCACATGGTAGCCTGCTATCTGCATGTGATTGCTGCTTATCTAAGCATTTCGTAACTGATCTCACAGGCCCTGATAACAGGATCAGATACACTTCGGTTCAGTCCTAGTCTTCACCTTTTTCAGTTCCTGTAAAATTAGGGCTGGAGAGGTGCTTAGGAGCTCTTGGCTACTCTTCCAGAGGACCAGGGTTTGATTCCCAGCGCCCACATGGCAGCTCATAGTCATCCTTAATTCCAAGTCCACGGATCTGGCACTCTTCTCTGGCCTGTGTGGGTTCTCCATGCGCATGGTGCACAGATGTATAAACAACCAAACATCCACACACATGTATTTAAAGGGGGAACAATTAAGCTGAATCAGCATTCCCCTCCTGGTCCTGCATCCATCCAAAGGGTGCTCATTTGTGGTGCGTGCGGTGTGAAGCTGGGCCCTGACTTGAAGGATTCAGCCAGAGGGCAAGGAATGAAGGGCTTTCCCCTCTTGTTCTGTATGCCTGCTGTGATCCCCAAGCACACCCCACATATTTACCTTTCAGCTGATGGAAGAAGGCCCACCGCGTGCAGAGTACCATTCTCTCTGAAGTGCTCTGAGCTGCTGCTCTTGGCCTTGAGACTCCTCAGTGCAGGGCATACCAGCTTCAAATATGCCAAGAGGCGTGAACAGCACCTGTAGTTCTGTGGAAACACCTGTTGTATTCAAAAATTGCTTTCTTAGTGTGGCTCACCCCCTTGATTCTTCTGATTGAAAATTAAGAGACTTTTTTTTCCTTTTGTTTTACCATTGCAGCTTCAAGCACATTTAATCCCTGGATTAAATCTGAATGCCTTGGGTCTGTTCCCACCCACTTCAGGGATGCCACCTCCCACCTCAGGGCCCCCTTCAACCATGACTCCTCCCTACCCACAATTTGAGGTAAGCTCTTTGACCCTTGCCATCAGACTATGCCACAATACTGCTACAGTCAGAGCTAAATGGGATAATGTTCATGCCAGACTGTGCGTTGTATGATCTATCACCTGTGTGGAGCTCTTGTGTGCTTTGTAGCATTTGCCAATAGAAACTTTTAATTTGACCCCAAATTAATAAACATGAGTTGTTTTGAAGTTTTGGGGGTTGGTAGAATTGTGCAAATGTGTCGATTTAAATAAAAAGTTTTGGTGGATTTTTGTTTTGTTTTGTCTTTTGGTTCAGTACTGGGGTTGAGGCTGGTTTTCTTAGAAGAGTAGTTCTCAATGGTCCTGATGCTGAAACCCTTTAATACAGTTCCTCATGTTGGTCCTGGTGCTGCGGCCTTTTCATACAGTTCCTCGTGTTGGTCCTAATGCTGCGGCCATTTAATACAATTTCTCATGTTGTGGTTAAAAGGACCAGTGTTGGTGCAAAACACCCCAAGACCAAGTTCTCAGCACAAAGATTTATTTGCCTGAGAGAGGGACAAAGGGCAGAGAATAAGACAAAGACAGGAAAGAAGAGAAAAGGAGCAAGGGGAAAGGAATATTTGCCTCAAGGGACAAAGGACTGCCTCTGGATGGAGAGGAGACAGACCGTAGCCCATAGGCGGTGGTAGTTTATGAAGGGATAAAGGGGAAGCCTTTGTTAGGATGAGTTGGTTTGTTTTGATTGAGCATCCTAATTAGGGCAGCCAAAAGGGGGCTTTTGATTGCTGAACTTCAGTACTTTGATAGCTGAACCTTGGAAATCAGCTTCAGGGGGGAAAAGTGGCAAAATAAGGGAATAGACCTTGGTGGCTAGACCTTGGTGGCTAGCTTTCAGAAGGTAATCAAACAGTTTAGCAAGGCAGAGGGAATGGAGAAGGGCAATGCCTGCCAGAGCCGTGTTTGTCATGCTCGGGCCTGCTAGAGCCCTTCAGTGGTGACAAAATAAACAATTATTTTTGTTTGCTACTTCATAACAAATATAAATATCTGTGTTTTCCAATATTCTTAGCGGACTGCTGTAAAAGGGTCATTCCACCTCCAAAGGAGCTGCGAGCTACAGATAGAGAGCCGCTGTTTTAGAGTATTGAAGCAGAGAGGTTTTAGGAGACGTCTATGCTGGACACAGTGCACACCTTTAAGCCCAGCATTCCTGCTGAAGCAGGAGGTTTGTGAGGTTAAGGGCAATCTGTATTCCACAGCAAGACTTTGTCTCACAAAGAAAATTTTTCTCTCATCTTTACCACCTAGAAGGTAACTGCCTTAGAAGGTCTACATAGGCTGAGGTTGCTTGCCATTGAGTGTTGCTTTCCTGATCAATGCACCAAGATAGTTTCCCTCACAGTTCTGTGTTCATGGACAGAACATTGGATAGCTTGTGTTGTATAGAGATCGTATAACAAATGCATTTACTTATTGAGACGGGGTTTTTTAAATTTATTTTATGTGCATGAGTATTTTGCTCATATGTATATCTGTGCACATGTGTGCCTGGTACCCATGCATGTCAGAAGAGAGGTGTTAGATCCCCTAGAACTGGAGTTATGAAGGGTTGGGAGCTGCCCTATGGGTTCTGGGAATTGAACTCAGGTCCTCAGGAAGAGAAAATGCTCTTAACCACTGAGCCTTCTCTCCAGCCCTGAGACGGGGATTTGTTTGTCATGTAGCCCCTGCTGACCTCATACTCGCGCTCCTCCCACTCCGCTTCCCCAGTGTTGTGAGCCGTCAGGCTTTTATAGGTCTTACTTCGAAATCTGGGTTTTGAGAACAGTTTTGCAGCCCAGATGTCTGTCCAGGAAAGTAGGGCATTGTCCAGTTTGCAGTCTTTGTATACAGCATTCTGGGGTCGTCCACGATGAATTTATCTCTCCGTTTGTTTGGCTCTCTTAAACACATGAAATATGTGAATGGTAACTCTGTGCACACCAGAGATGTCGTTCAAGTGGTACGGGTCAAGGATTTAATTGTGTTACTACCCCGGGTAACCGCACAAGTAAATTGATATTGGCATTCTTCAGGGAACACCAATACTAGACTGCTGATGCTCTACCAGTTCAGAAATAAGAATTTCCTCTCTGTCTGAGCATATTAGGCTGATAGGTGTTTGTTTCTGCTTTTACATGAGTAAGCCATGGGGAGCAAGCCAGAAAACAGTATTCCTCCATGACCTCCACTCTGCTTCGGTCCCTGCCTCTGATCTTTGTCTTTGTCTGCAGCTCACCTGCATATGTAGTTGTTTGCACCTAGAAATTATGTAACAAGTCTGAGGATAGCTTTCACAACAGTAATTAAATAAACCCCTGGATGTGGTAGCATGCACCTATACTCTCAGCTACTTGGGAAGCTGAGAGGCAGGATCATCCTGGGAAACCTAGAGAGCTGTATCTCCAAAACAGTGGACAGAATGGCAGCCAAATATCATATATGCATAAATTCATTACATGGCACCTGAAGATTCAGCTCAGATCCAGGTGCTGTGTGAAGTAGATAGCAGGTTTGTGCCCTGAGAGATGTCTTGGTGAAAGAAGTGTGGGGTTGCCCCAGGTCTAGACTAGCTCCACAGTGAATTGTGCCACTGAAGGTCGGGTTCTGCACTGCCCTTGGTCTGTTTTCTCAGTGAAAAATCTGAGCCAACCAGGGTGACACTTGTAATTGCAGCCTCCAGTGGCTGGGGCAGGAGGATTGCTGGGAGTTCTAGGTCATCTTGGGCTGCTTGGTGGGACCAGGCAAACCCTGGCTACAGAATAAGCCCTCGACTTGAAAGCAGATGGGGGGGGGTTGGAGACCTTTGTTGGATGAATGACCTCTGAAGACTTTCAGGTCAAATATTTCTTTTCTCTACAGAATTGTATATTGATAGTAGGGTGAAGGGCCTAAAATAGAAATTCAAGAGTGCATTTAAATCGGTAATTGTTATGCTTAGAGTTTTATTTATTTTTTGTCAACCTGACACAAGCTAAGGTCTTTCTGGAAAAAAAAAAACTCAATTGAGAAAATGCTTCTATCAGATTCACCTGTAAGCGAATCTGTATGGCATTCTCGTGGTTAATGATTGATGAGGTAGGACCCAGCCCGCCACGAATGGTGCCCTCCAGCCCCCACAGGCAATTCTGAGTTGTATAAAAAACCAAGCTGAATATGGGGTCTTCCTCTTCCTCGTGGTTTGTTGGCACCACCAGGTCACAATGACAAAGGGAGCAGCGGCAGTGCAGGGCTTTGTACGGCCTGTGAATATGGCAGAGGCAGCTTCAGGGAGGCAGCTCGACCTTGTTCCAGGTGGAGATGGAAAGGATGCACTCAGTGACTGGAATATCACCTCATCTGCATTTGGTGGCCTGCGCCTGTCACAAGGCTGGAGCACATGTCTGTTACATGTGACCGCATAGCCCTGTCCTATATATAGCTAGAGCACCTAATTATGGACTGTGGCAGCAGAGGGAAGCATTTGCAGAGAACTGTGTCAGAGGTCTGGACTAAGGTAAGTCAGACATCCAGGCACAGGGACCATCTCCAAATAAGGTCAGGCGGAGAGTAGGAAGCCCGTGCTGGGGAAGGGCGTCCTCCTGTCTTGTGTTGAGCTCTGAGAGAGCCATCCAGACATGTTGGGCTGCAGCCTTAGTCCAGCAGGGCTCCCAGCAGCTGAGTGAGTCACTGGGAACAAGACAGTAAACACTGTTCCTCCACGGTCTCCACTTCCTGCCTCTAGGTTCCTGCCTCGAGCTCCTGCCCTGACTTCCCTTCGTGATACACTGTGATCAGGATATAATAAGCCAAATATGCCTTTTCTTTCTTGTGCTTTTTGGTTATTGTATTTGTTACTGCACTAGAAAGCAAACTAGGACAGTTGTTTAAATTCTGATGTGTCCATTTGTGCTAGGTTTATAGATGATGTATCCCTGATATTTACTTTAAAAAGTATAATTGTGCCATATAAGGCCTTATCTAATGGATGGTGCTGTTCTGACTCTGACTCTGCCTTCTTCCTCCCAGCATTCAGTTCTGTCTTCCCCGCCTACCTAAGTTCTGCCCTGCTATAGGTCCAAAGCAGTTTCTTTATTCATTAACCAATAAAAGCAATACATAGACAGAAGGAGCTCCCACACCATTTCTCTATAGATCAACCTCTCCCATCACAGATGGTAGACTGGTGGACATTCTCATCATCTGTCTCTTACATGTATTCAGATCCTTCCGTAGCAAAAAGCCCTAAAGTGAACTGTTAGGTGATTATTTTTTAATATAGAAATAAGGAGACTGGAGAGGGGGCTCAGCAGTAAAAAGCACTGGCTGCTCTTCCAGGGGACCCAAGTTTGGTTTCCAGCCTCACAAGGTGGTTCATATGGATCCATAACCAGTTCCAGGGGAGCGACACCCTCTTATCTCCATGGGCACCAGGCACCCATGCAGTGTATATACATACATCTAGGCAAACACTGATACACATAAGGTAAAGAAAAACTTTAAATCTTCTAAAATTTACAAGTTAGAAGATTGTAACTGCCCTCTGTATTTAATCATTTTTTTCTGATTTAATATTGTGGTTTAAGCATCATATCTGGTTTAACAGACCAATGTTTTAGTCATATGAGATCATATTGACAATCTTCATTCTGAAACCCATTGTAAGTATCTAGAGTACAAGCTCACTAGAACCCAGCCAAAAACACAGCAGCTGAGATGTCTGTGATTGGTCCCTGTGGGAACAAGGGCTTCCTTTGCCTGTCCTAAGCCACATTAAATCTTGGTTGTTGTTTTTTTTTTTTTTTTTTAAGTTTTTCAAGACAGGGTTTCTCTGTAGCTTTGGAGCCTGTCCTGGCACTAGCTCTTGTAGACCAGGCTAGCATAGAACTCACAGAGATCCACCTGCCTCTGCCTCCCGAGTGCTGGGATTAAAGGCGTGCGCCACCACGGCCCGGCTTGCCACATTAAATCTTAAAGGTGGCTTGCACAATTAGTTTTAAGAATGGGAGGCTGAAG